AGGCGCTCGACGGTATAATTCTCGACGGTATAATTCTTCGAAGAAATAAAATCCTCTACAGCTCCGTGGACGTAGGCAAATTTATCGAACCACATGAATTTGTGTGTCGCTCTGGTGTTTTTTTTTTCTGCATGCAATTTTTCTCATTTCATTTTTCGCTTTATTGTCGTTGTTTTTCAAAACAACTAGATCAGAGCTTTGGTTCAGATCTAAGGAAGAATGACGGGCAGAGACAAAGTAATCACATCGGGGGTCGAGAAGTTCGATGACACATATTTTGCTTACAGAAGGATGCAGATAGAGAACTACCTCTATGGGAAGAAACTTCATCTTCCGTTACTAGGAAAGCAACCGGAAAAGTCAGACAAGGCGGAATGGAATCTATTTGATCGACAACTTCCAGGGGTTATTTGATTATTCCTGTCAAGGTCGGTTGCCCACAACGTCATCAAGGAGAGGACTATTGCATATCTCATTGTGGCTTTATCAAGTATGTATGAAAAATCATCGACGAATAACAAGGTGCACCTAATGAAAAATGTTATTCAACTTGAAGATGGCGAAAGTCGTGTATGTTGCTCAACACCTGAATGATTTCAGCACTATCACAAATCAGTTGTCGTCTGTTGAAATTGATTTTTATGATGAGATATGTGCGCTAATATTGTTGGCTTCATTGTCAAATAGTTGAGAAGTCATGAGGATGACAGTTAGTAGTTCTACAGGTAAATCTAAACTGAAATATGATGATATTTGTGATTTTATTTTGGCTGAAGAAGTGTGTATGAAAGATTCTGGCTAGACCTCGGGTTCGAGTTTGACATTGATTGTTGATTTTAGATGGAGATCACAAGAAAAGAACTCAAACAGAGGAAGATCAAAATCAAAATTTGATCAGTAGACAACCTGCTGGAATTGTGGCAAGGTTGACACAAAAAAAAAACTGCAAGAATCCTAATAAGAAAAAAAATAATTACGCTAATGTTGTAATTGAAGAAATATAGGATGTGCTATTGCTGACAGTTTGTAGTTTTGTTGATGACTGAATACTGAATTCGGGAGCTTCTTTCTATATATCTTCCCACCAGAAGTTGATGTGAAACTATGTTGCAGGTGACTTTGGGAAGGTACATCTGGCTGATGGAAAAACTCTTAGCGTAGTGTGAATGAGAGACGTTAATATTGCATACATCTTCTCACTGGGAGTTGATGCGAAACTATATTGCAGGTGACTTTGAGAAGGTACATCACACTGACGGAAAAGCTTTGAGCGTGGTGGGGATGAGAGATGTTCATATTGCACCCCCTAACAATAGCAAATGAACTTTGCAGGATCAGACACGTTCCTGAGTTGAAGAAAAACCTCATCTCTGTTGGGCAGCTCAATGAGGGTGGTCATTCGGTAGTGTTCTCAGATATCTCCTGGAAGGTTACCAAAAAAACATTAATACAAGCTCGGGGTAAGAAAACTGACACACTATGTATGACTACATGTTTACTCAAGTGTTGACACATGAGTCAGAGATGCATTATCGGGAAGCAGAAAAATAGTCAATTTCTTGTAAAGTGGTAGAGTGCCAAAGGCAAGAAAACTGGGCATTAAACAGACAAATAGTAGAGAATCACAGAGCTATTAAGAAATCTTACAAATTGAGAATTCAAGCAAGTTAGAGTTGACGAAGGAGGAGACAGGCAAATTGAGAATTCAAGCAAGTTAGAGTTGACGAAGAAGGAGGAGACAGATTCCCTATCAGGGAATCATACTTGGGAGCTGGCAGAACTGCCACCAAAGAAGAAGACATTGCACAAAAAGTTGGTGTACCGGGTCATGACTGTGCTTGGTGGCAGTGAGAGGTGCAAGATTGGACTTGTTGAAAAGGGCTTTCAGCAGTTAAGGATATTGCTCATGCAGTGGGGGTTAAAAGCAAATACAAGAATAACCTAGAAAAGAGCTTGGTGGTACGAGGCTATGTTGACGGTGATATGTCAATTGAGGGTTTACTCGTGAGAATATGAAGTTGTGTTTGACATGAAGCTAGTCTTCTAACATGAAGACCAGAGCTTTGAGTTGCAGAGGTGAAGAATATCATGTTTTAGAAAAAAATCGGTACAGCTAGTAGATGATGCAACCAACATGTGATGTAGTTAGTGTTCTAGCCTCCAAGTGCAAGAATTGTTAGATAATGTGAAGACTCGGTTCATCACAATTTAATTAGTTTCCTAATTAAGAATCTCATCACGACTCACCTACCTTCCCACATTTCGCCCACCACCACATCTCACCTAACTCTCATATATCGCTCTTCTGGTTTCTATAAATAGTCTCTTATGGCTTATCATAACCAAACAAGCCAAGGCCAAACCAATTCCTCTAAGAGGAAAAGAGAGGAAGAAAAAAAGAGAAAGGGAGAATAAAATATAGATTTTCTTATAAACGTCGAGGTGCTCGACGGTGCAATTTCTCAAAGAAATAAAATTCACTGCAGCTCCATAAACATAGGCAAATTTGTCAAACCATGTAAATCTGTCGTTATGGTGTATTTTTTTTCCGTGTGCAATTTTTTTTGTTCCATTTTTCGCTCTAATTATCATCGTCATTTTTCACAACAATTTTGACTCACTCAACAAGACAAGTACGCCTCATACGCCTCGTAAATCACAATCTTCTATTTATGTACAAATACCAACTTTCTCTATACTCTTTTCATTCTCGGCAGTCTGATACATATACCCAGATCTAAATCCTTAATCCTAATTAAAGTTCATTTTAAAGTAGACAATCTTTACAACACTAACCACAAGTAAACTCTCTGCTCTCACCTTCGCACTATGAAGCCTTTCAAAATCATAGTTAAGCCCACACATCCTTGTCGACCATAAGAATAAAAATTTATCTACTTTAGCTTTAACAACAATTTGCAGTTCAATTGGGCATTGGGACAAGTGTTATCTATGGCAAAACATTTGCTTCAAATCTTGATAGTTAAAAGTTAAAACAACTATCGTCTGTATAGAAATAGCAATCGAGTCAAGCATGTAAAATCCAAGCTCTCTTCTTATCCAAACATATCCTGAAGTTGCAGAGCACAGCAAAAGAGATCAAAGAAAAAGAAAATGCAATCATATGCTTTAGCTGTAGGGAATGTTGAAGACGCTTGCGATAAAAAAGCTTATAAAAGTAAGAGAATGTTAATGATGGCAAACACTCAGAGAGAGAAAGAGAGAGAGAGAGAGAGGCTCTCAATTCTCAAACAAACAGACAAAAAAGGCTGTAAAAGAGGGCTAAGTCAAAAGATTGGAATACAATATGGTAGTAGTAACCCTTTAACGGTACTTGGTAAGGCCAAAAGCAGCCCGCAACTAAAGATCATCTCATGTCCAAAATTTAAACCACAGGCTTTGTCCTCCCAACTACACAACATAAATCCACGGTTATCTAACACAGAGAAAACAAATCAGCGATTCCCTCCACTTCTTTTTTCCTTAATGAAGCTTTACAAAAGGCTCAAGCATCACTCCATCCTGAAAACACCGGCAGACCGCTCATGGGAATTGCAGGCCACGGAGTACTGATCAGCTTGGCTGGAGCCTTTGAATATATCTTCGATAAGCCAGCTCGATCAGGGCTGCCTTCTCTCGAGCTGCTCAAGCTCGTCACCAACGATGAATGGTTAGAGAGATGTAAGTTTCCGGGCTTACCAGAATCATCCATGCCATGAATTAAGCTAACGGTTTCCATACCAAAAAGGCCATGAAGCATTGGCCTTTCATTCAGTGATTCAGAGACAGACACATTGTGCTGGGGGGACTGATACAGCACCATCTTCCAATCAGAGCCACTGCTGCTGTTATCTTCAGTCAAGTCCAGATCTCTGCTAACATTCTGAATCAAAGGAAGATCACTGTTGCGTCCAATAGCTGCTTTGTTCTTCCTGGCAAGCTCACCTGACAGAAGAGTATTGCTTGCTATGATCTTGTCAACATCATACCTAGTTATGTCAAAGTTTGTTACTGCATTTGCACCACGGAACTTGATCGCAGCAATGTCATATGCTTCAGCTGCCTCCTCTTGAGTGCCTGAGAATATTAATCAAGCTTCTACTAAGTTACTGAAAATGAAGTCATATATCATTTGAAACAGTAAAAAAAAAAAAAAGCTTTCCAGGCCAAGTCTTAGAAAAAAAATGGGCAAAATCAATCAGGGAATAAGTTATACAAAACTAGCATTGAAAAACCTTTTTTTCTTACATTAACAAATAAACAATTGGGTTTCAGGACACAAGTACAACTTATTTCTATATACATTAAGTTGCAATGAACGAAAAATCATGATAGAAAATCAAGTAGAGCAGTGAAACATCGGCTAGAGGTATGTTCAAGACTGGTAATATCTGAAATTTTGATTCTGGCGCTGATTGTGGATTGGAGATAAGTATGTAACTCTTACTCCAAGCTCCTAAATGCCCAATGCATCCAAACCTGCAGACATGCTTAGAAGATGGATATTTTAGATAAATTTCGAACAAGCTTGATCTAAAAGCTCAATCCAATCTAGCCTACTCCATGAATCTACTCGTGCATAAGCTAAATCCCCACAAAAACTCGACATTTCAGGTGATTTTGGATTGGGATTACCAACTTACAGTACAAAGAAGTTGTACTGCTATATTAGTACTAGTCATTCCAAAGCTTTTCTAGCTAATCGATCAAGAAGAACTGGCTCCAAAACACAGAAAATTCTTATAAATGCACAGAAACTAGTAATTTCATAGCATAGGAGAAGATATCAAAACCTGTACATAATCAAGTACTTACTGAAGGTTCCAAGATAAAGATCTTTGTTTCCAGCAACTCGGCCAATTCGAGCCTGCCACCTTCCATGTTGATGATGCCTGCAAATAAAAAATAAAAAATGTTACATTGCATTACAAATTTAAAATGAACGAGTTTATCATTATGCATTAGCCAAAAAAAAAAAAAAAAAAAAAACCTTGTAACTCCTCTGTACATTGAAGCGCCTCTAGAAAAGCCGCTGCTTTTCCTGCAAACATACAAGAAAGTATATTAAAAGAACAAACTATTTGAGAAACAATGAGCTCACATATAAGCGTAGTCCTGCCTTCTCAGATGGGCAACATACTCCTGTCTTGTCATGTTCATCATCTCCTCCAGCTCCTCCTGATAATTCTCCAGCTGAAAGAAGAGAAATTTCACGAAGAATAAAAAACCCAAGACAGTAGAAAAAATAAAAACCGAAAAAATTTAAGGCTTGTTAATTGATCAAAATATTACAGGGAAGTTGATATGAGTGGAAGGGCCCCAATACTTGAGTGCAGCCAAGTCATAAGCTCTTGCAGCTTTCTCTTCCATATCATAACCTCCTAAAACATGTCATGGCGAAATATTGGTCAAATGTTTTTATTAAGAACGTTAAAAAACGATAAAAGTGGGGGGAGGGGGCAAGAGACAGAGAGAGACAGAGAGAGACAGAGAGAGGAAGATGGGAGGGAGTGAGGGAGACCTACCCAGATAAACTGTAGATGAAAATGCGTTGCGATTTCAATATGCCGAAACATCATTATGCCAAAAAGACATCCAAACAGTTAAAAAGCTTTACTATCAAATACGAGTTCAGTAAATATTAGTTATGAATAAGACTAACCTTGTCTTCCTTTTCTGGTTTGTCCTTCCTTCTTGCAGCTGTTATCCCAGAGATGAGCTTCGTACCTCCCAGTCCACCTATGTCTGATTAATGAACTGAGTTAAATAAACTACAAAGAGCATTAATCAAACAGAGAAATCACACGCAAATTTATAACCACGATGATCTCTATATTTAAAATGACCACAATTGCAATGGAAACAAGCGAAAGAGGTTTTCTGCGTTGTCTTTTTTTCTTCTCTCAAGAGGGAATACTAGATGAAAAACAGACAAACAAAAAAACAAGAACAAAAAAAACCAACGAAATAATTTCAGTGCGAAAAGGAATAAAGAAAATTATATTGACCGAAAAAAAAAAAAATGGGACCATCTATCGTTTCGAGAAGAGAATAACAACTAAAAAACCACGAGAAAACAAGTATAAATCCAAAGCAACGCAGCCACACACAACCAGAGAGAGAGAGGGAGAGAGAGACACAACCAGAGAGAGAGAGAGGGAGAGAGAGGACCTAGTGACTCCTCTATATTGAGAAGTCCTCTGGCCAAAGGTATCAATACTCTTCCTGTGAACGGGTTGTTTCTGCACTCCCTTACCCGCCATTCTCTTCTTAGAAACATCAAGAGCCATGCAATCAGAAGCTCCAACACATGAGATATGCTGAGGAGCTGTTACACAGCTGGACTGAGAGCCTGGGCTCATAGATAAGCTCAGGGAATGCAAATCCCCATACCCAATCGCAGCAACAGAACCAGATCCCATTCCAGCTTCATTCCCTCCCATAACATTTATCCCGCCATTATAATTCCTGGCCACCCAGTTTTTCAAGCTAGGGAACCCATGATCACCCATATGTTCCTCCTCCAATGGCGCTGGATACATGTCATGACCCGTTAGCGCAGTGCAAATTCCTTCTTGCAGGGGCTGAAAGTATGAGCTCTGCTGCCTGAATGGTTGTTGGAGGAACTCCAACGAGTGGTTCTGCTCTCTATTACCCTTGGGTTCTTGGTTATGGTGGTGGTAATACATGCTGTCCAAGCTTAGAGCCATAGCTTCCCTTTCAGTGTTTCCAAACTGATGATGGGTCCCGATATTTGGACCACCACCTAAGAAATCTTCCAGTTTTGGGGATGGGGACGGCACCAATCCTGCATCAGCATTCAACAAAAATAATAGAGAAAACATAGTAAAAATATGCCTCTTTGTTTGGAAGCTGGAAGCGGCAAGAAGAGAGAAATGCTGAAAGAAAGTCGAGGAAAAAAAGGAGATTAGACCTTGTTGCTGAGATCTGTTGAGTGCTTCCATAATGCATAGGGAACCATCAGACTTGAGTGGCATGACAGAGAGCTCGGAGTAGATTCCCCCAGTCACTCCATCAACACCATAGCACATGCCCGAGTTATTAAGATGGGATGGAGAAAGGAAGAAGCTTCCGGGCATTCCATTTGATACTGCGGCGGTAGGAGGTGCAGGTGTGGTATGCTGGGGTTGGTGATGGTGGTGATGATGGTGGCCATGATGATGGCTTTGGTGACCTTGGTGGTGATGATCCTGCGGCTCTGCACAGGAAACCTCCATTTTCATTTGAGAGGATAAAGAGAAGCCCAACCAGTTATTACTACCACCACTGCCGCTCATGGGTTTCATCTTCCTATACGACTCAGAAGATTTTAACCAAAAACGAATGAAAGGAAGTAAGGTCCATCATTTAGAAACGTTGGACATTCCTTTCTCTATTTCCTACCCAGGAAGCAAAGACGTGGAGGAGGTAAACTATTATCCAACATTATAAGAAGAAGAGCATTCCTCTTAAGGGGACCAATCAACCCTGTGCCCTCAAAACTAAACAAAAAGAATGAGAGTTCCACAAAACAAATATTGGATCAAATACCTCAACCTTCTCCCCCGGTCCATAGGGATCTGTGTTCTGAGAGGGACACGTAGGTTTTGGCTTGCCTCCTCTCCACTTTCTAATAACACCCCTGCCTCCTTTATTAGCATCCTTAAACCCTCATTTCTTTCAGCTTATATAAGGATTTTTCTTTTGTATTTTTCGAGATAGATAAAGATCTGAAAGTTGGAAACGCCCTCTCCAATTAATGGAAGGCCTGTTTCCTGTAGCTGGCAAACCAAAAAAAGACCGCTTTTTTATTTTTCTTCAGCCCCATGTCATGAGAGAGAGATGATGGATGGATAGATTGATGGTAAGGACAACCGTCCCAGCAGTCACTTCATAACAACAGTACTCTATACAATTGCCCAGTGCAACCAAGGATCTTATTAAAACCATATCTTTTGTTTTTCCGTTATTGCTTGCTCTTTCAATTAAAAATCATATCAGTTCCAAAAAATAGAAAAAGTTTTATAATAACAAAATAGAAAATACATTTAAAAAATAAGGGATGAAAGCCAAGTGGAGGAAAGGATTGCATGGGGGTATGGGTAGTTTGGCTAAAAACTTACATGTCTCAGATGTAAAACCCATGCCTTTTATGGCATTGATATACTAGTCAAATAGCTGCTTCCAGACAAAAAGTGGAATGTGGGTCGGCATGATAAGCTTGATATATTCCAAGAATGATGAGTGCCAAGATAAAACAGCTCTTCCCTCTATTCTCTCACCTAATTTGCAGTAATATATTTTAATATCTTCCTTCTGCTGCATGGGAAATAAATAATGAAGCTGTTTGCCATAAAGTAGTGTGAAAGTTTGAAACTGAATCTCCCCCAAATCAAAGCGTGCTTGTAAAAAAAATCATCGGAGTTTCTTAATCAAAATCTATCTACGATAAAATACTACTCGTTAAAAGCTGGAGTTTCTTAATCAAAATCTATCTACGATAAAATAATACTCGTTAAAAGCTTTCTTGCTACTAATATTTTAACAAATGATGCTTTGCTTCATCCCTTTTGTCAAGAATTTGGAGCCAGGAAATAGCGAACGGTGAGGTGATAATTTTTTTTCGAGTATATAAAATCTAGTTTAATATAATTTTTACTGGATATTATAACAGAAGTATTAAAAAAAAAGAAAAGACAATAGCTGGTAAGCGAGAGTTATTGGAAGGGGGAAGGAATCAAGGGAGTTTGGGGTGGGCTATTGGGGGACAAAATGTACGAAGAAGAAGCCAGCAACACACATATGGACCTCCTTTTATTGATTATTGTAATGAAGAGTGCGGGCAGCCCTACTGCTTCCCATAAAGAACGTTTTTTGCTTAGAATCAGGCCACTGCTAAGCTGGATGGGCCAAAGTCTCCGTCAATATTTTCATGCTTGCCAAAATGCCAACTTAAGCTCTCACAATCACCAACCCCCTTTCGGCATGGGAGAGGACATTATTCCTCTGCTGCTACCATATTTGCTCCTTTCACACATTCGCCGCATACTTGGTTTCCTCACTGTTGTACAGTACTAGAAGCTCTTCTATGCAAGTTTCACACATTCGCCGCATACTTGGTTTCCTCACTGTACAGTACTAGAAGCTCTTCTATGCAAGCTTACACTAACTATTATTTCAAGAATAGACTGCTTTTTTTATTTCCCACTGTAGAATCTGCATGCACAAAAACAAACTATTCAGAATCTCGGTTTTTTTTTTTTAAAGCCTGAAGCCTGTAAGATAAAAGATTTTGTGTTATTATGTAAATGAGGATAGAATCTAAAAATCTTGGTTACAGCTTAAGGGGGGTGTATGGTTGCACTCGGATTTATGTTAAGTAGTATTTATCAAACCTGAATTTCTGGCAAGCTCGTGATGAGAGCTAAGGTCGCAAACAATGGTAATGTAAATCCGACAAATCCGATTCTCTGTGAAATTTGATAAATCCAAATTTACATACGTTATAGCTATAGGGATGACGAAATGAGAATAAATTTAGATTAACGAAGAGTTGGATTTTGTCTTCAATTTTTTTAAGTTGGGCTAGATTGAGTTAAATCCATGGCTGAATCCTCTTAAAAGTGTACTACCAAACACCCTCAAAGGTTTTGTTTATAAAGACCAATAGAAATCGAAAAAAAAAAGTTAATTGTATTGTATGTACATAAACAAATTAAAAACAAAGAACAAATATATTTAATTTAAAAGTTAATCTAAATTGAAAATTAAATTTAAAGTTACATATCTTAGTTATTATTAATTAAACTTTTTTATTTATCAATGAATTTAAATTTAAATTAAATTAAAAAAGTAACAAATATATGATTTATGCCTTAATTGTTTATTATGTTTTAATTTTACTTTAAGATTTTTTTAATGAGTAAAATATTTCATTTTTTCAAAATGAGTAAAATTGTCAAAATAACCTCTAAATATTTATGCGGAGCCGTTTTAATCCCAAAGTTTATAAAAGTGTCAAATTAGCTCCCATACTAAAATTAGTTCACAGATTATTTAAATTGGGGCTGAAATAATCCCTATAAAGGACTACTTTCAGTTTAAAAATAATTGGAGATTATTTTGATTTTTCTTTGAACTTTGGGATTAAAACGACCCCATGTAAATAGTTGGGGATTATTTTGATACTCTTTTAAAAACATTTAAATAGCTAAATAGCTTTCAACATAGATGCATGAGATAATTAAACATCAATTAAAATATGAATTAATTTTGTCATGATCAAATAAAATGAAGAGTTTGAGCAGCGTTTATGGCCTGTTTGTCCATAAATATAAATTTACTCAAATAAAATTTTAAAATATATATTAAATTTCATAAATTTTTTATGTGCTATTACCTGCAAAATATAGTGCGTATAATAGCTATTTCATCAAATTAAACTATAATAAATTACTTTAGTCTCATTTTCTGAGTTGAAAAATTAAAGAACCATAAACTATGCCGAGAACTTAAAATATTTTCGCTAATTCTTATGCATGCCAAAAAATTCATGACAATGGAGTAATTATTTGACATCTTACTATTGCATATAAGTCTAGCAGACACTCAGATAATAAAGGAATAGTAAGAGGAGACACCTCAATTTTTTACGTGAAAAATTTTTGAAAGGGGAAAAAAACGATGTGAAATATGGTTGAAGTAATTCATTATATAATTGTGAGTATATAGGCCCACTCTTCTCATGAGTTAAGGAAAATATAATTATAAAGCTAATGCACAATGATATTTCAGTAATAACAGAAGTAACAAGCCGCAAAGATTGCAATCAATTGCTATGGAGGCAATAGTCCACCATGAATGTTATAGACGGTGGTTGTAGTGCTAGCTTGTCGTAGAGATTGTAGTTGAAAGTCATGATAGTTGTTGATCATGTGAGTTATAGATGGTTGTTTTAAAAGTGTTAGTTGGCCACATAGGTCCTAGTAGGGAGTTGCAATAACATTTGTAGACTGTGGAAGCTAGATTTAAGAGTTATGTGAGTTGTGAACCGTGTAGGTCATAGTTGGCCTGTTCGTTAAAGTGATTTGCTCGGTCGCCATGGATGATGTTGTTCGTGTAGCCCAAAGAACAAACGTTGGGATCTCAACCCAATTTCACTTAGCTCTTTCAACATTTTCTTTAGAAGGTTTAGGATGATATTCTTGGCTACTTCGGTCTGACCGTTCATTTGAGGATGATGGATGGACACAAACTTCAAAATCCCTCGACTCTAACAAATATTTTGTTGTCTATGTTGTGAGTGGTAGCTCGTACCGACAAATTAGATCAGATGAGATGAAGTTCTGAATGAACTCTGCAATGATCCGAGCAAGCCTCTTGGCCTCAATCTACTTGGAGAAGTAAGTCACAAAAACGAGCAAGAATTTTCACCATCCTCACAATGTGGGAAGGGGTCGGAGAATATTTGATATTTATCTTCTCTAACTTCAAATTGTTTGTTCACTTGATTGACTACTAATTGTGAGTTAGACTTTTTCATGAAGAACTAAGAGCATATTTTGTAGGTGAATCGGAGCCCGACAATCAGAGCTTCATGCCAAGACTCGTAAGGGTGATCCCCGATGAAATTTGTCCGAATGAGACTGAGCTCTACCCCGATTAGATTAGACACTTCATCAATATGTAGGACCCAGGTTTAGACATCGGTTGTCACTTCTTCGCCTGGGTTCTCGGCTCGAAAAAATAAGTCAATTAATTTGCTATGGCTTGTGTTGTAATAGCAGTTTGGGGCACGTAAAAGAGATCAAACTCGTCAAGTTCTACTGCCTATTTGAGAAGCCGATTGGAGTGCTCTAGCTTGATGAGGATGAATTTGAGTGGGGGTTGATGCACCTAAAATAGTCTTTATGTACACATTTTCATACATATTTTTTAGATATTGCACTTTAATGAAAGATATTTGTGTGTTTTTATTTCAGGTACAATCAAATAGATGAAAAATGATAAAATGAGTGAAAAAGGATCAAATTTGGAGCAAAAATGAAGAATGTGAAAAAATGAACTATGGCGCCTAAGCGCTCAGGACTGGCGCTTACGCACCAGTTAAACAGAGAGAGCTACGCTTAAGCGCTTGATACCATGTGCTTAAGAGCCAGAAGTTGTTATTTGATGATTCATTTCATTTGGACAAATTTTTGAAGAAGTGTTTGAAGCAACACTTGGTAAAAACGTGGAACCCTTGGTAAAAACGTGGGAAATAGTTAATGGGCACGAAAATTCATTCAATTAGCTTTTAAAAGAAGACAACTTCTAGAAGATTCATTGAATGAGAACACATTTTAAAGAGACACCACCAGGACACCTCTTGGATTTTTATCAAAGAAGACTTGGATCATTCATGGAGGAAGTCAATCATCATCCATCCATCTAGACCAATCCAGTGCCAACCACCACATATGCCACCGCTGTCGCCACCCACCTTTTCTTTTTATTTTGAGTTGTATTTTGTATTGTGAGTAAAGGAAGAGATTCAAAGGAACTTCAAGACATTTGGTGGAGAGGAATTTGAGATAATTTTTTATCTTTGTGACTACATTTTATTTAAATTTAGACTTCTTGTTTGTGTGCATGATTTCTACTTTCAAACTCAAGTATTGTTGTGCCTTCTCCATGAAATTTGAGTAGTTTGCTTTATCTTTTTCCATAAAATGATAAGTGATTGAGTATTAGAGGGAAGTTGTGTGAAGTATTAGACTTTAATGTTGAAAAAAGTTGTGATGATTTTAAACCTTGTACTTCATTTCTTGATTCAACCAATTAAGATGTTAATACCTGTTGTGAGAACATGTAAGATCCGAGATGGTATTGTCACAGTCAACAAACTGTAAGAATCACATTTGATTTCATGGAT